GCCCCTGTCCTTTACTCTTGCTTTTTACSATGCTATTATGTGAAAACACATCTTGCAATCTTGATCTCTCTGAGAAACGACAGGGGCCATAGAAAGCCTACAATTCCTGAGAATCCACTGGAGGATTTCTGAACTCTCCTACAGCAGTTCAGAGCACTGATGTGTCTTGTGCAGATTTGGGCAATTAGACACGGTCTGTTTAATGCTTCCTTTCACCACCAAACCAATATTACACATTTTCAGGTGCAAGTATTGTCAAACACCTTCTTTTAAACTGTCATTGTGAAATACACTGAAATATATTGCAAGTGTTCCCCAAGTTTTCAAAGAAACATTTTTATCATATAAAACATATAAATACACAARTTTCATTTACTCAGCATACAACTTAAGTGGAAATCAGCTGCCAGAATTATTTCGTCTTTATGAGTACAATCTAAATCTAAAAGCCAGATCTGCACAACCATTTTTTGAAACTGCTTAGGTTTTTCATACTCAGTAAACTAAAAGCTGAAGTATTGCCTACAAGAATCCCTAAAGCTGTACCTAAGCTTCTCTACAGTGCTGAAGGGTTTCATAATCACGAAGTTATGTTTTAAAAGATCTTAGAAAGCCAACATCAACAGATTCTCAAAGACGAAAAAAATCAACAACTGTAAAAAAAAAAAAAAAACCTTCACAATTTTATTTGGAAATACTTCCTTAGGCTATCATTCAAAATTCTTTAGCTGCTTTATCAATGAGAAGCCAACTGAAGCTGGGTGATCATCTTAGATAATRATATCTGTGCTGAATTCATGGGACAACTATAAGGTTGGTTTTCATAATTAATTCTGAATAATCTGTTWAAATTTTAAGGAGCCATTCACAGTCATCTGTGCTGTATGTCAAGTGTCACAACTACATCTGAACTATATAAAGAAAAAAAGTTGTCTGTGACACTCTGTTATTTTCCTATCAGAAATGAAAATGAGTTCACAAAGCGCTGGAGAGCTTAAGATCTGATTTAGTAATCACAGCATCTACAACAAGAGACCTGGCAGATCCAGGAAGCTTCCTAAGGAAGATAAATCCTTCTTTCTGTGTTTGGRCACTTTCTACACTGTCCTGCTGCTTCAAGCTTTCTGGAAAGTGTTGTACCCCAGAAAATACACCCAAGGCTGAAAGTTTCCAGGAATTATTCAGCATGCTGTGATGGCAGCTAATCACAAAGACAGACATTCTCTGCGAAAATAAGATCTTGGGAGATTCTGCTGGGCTCTCTGTCCTGACCACGCACCAGTCGTTTCCAGACCAGCTGCCAGTCTGGCCCGGTGGCAGCTGCTCCAGCTGGCCTTCCTCTCACCCTCACTGCTGCAGACACTCACTGAGCCAAGGAAACCTGCCAGAAATCTCAGGAATCCCACACGCTGACTTCCACCTCACCGAATGCATGTGCTACTTGATGCATCTTAGCTCCTCACAGAAATTGCTRTGTTTGTATCATTTCAATGCAGTCCAGCAGCACTGTGGGATACAGACACATGCAAACACTAAGCAGGGGATACTCTAGCAGCCCTCCTTCCCAGCCATTCCACTTCCTCAGGTGCTACTCACAACTTTTCCATGTGATGTACTCTCCCCACCATGCATTTGATTTCATGCAAGATGTCCTAGAACTTATTCTGCTTAAAACCAGTACTTTTAAAGAGAATCGCATCGCAAYGCAATAAGAAACTGAAGTAAAGAGAAAGAAAGGCATGCTCAAGAGCTGCAGAGTAGCTGAAAACTGAATAGGATGAAAGCTAAAGCCCAGTCTGCACTGCAGAAGTTTTGCCAGCGTAGTTGCATCCCAGATCTCAAGACACAGATGGTTTAAACAAATGGGGTTTCTGCCATTAGCATTTATGCCAATTCACTGAGAAAACATAATTCTTCTGGCTAAAATATTCCTTTGTGTCAATGCTAGGATTTAAATCCCTTAAAATTAATTAAAAGCAAACAAACAAACGGAAAAAAAAAACAACAACAAAAACTCCACCCAACTGGAAAAGCACATGAAAGTAGAAAATGAGGACTTCTTAGTTATCCTGCAATGCTCATGTAAAGTCTGATCAGTTCCCTGCCCACATTAATGCTCTGCCTCCATGCAGGAGAAAGCAGATACAAGAATAGCTCTGTATTGTACTACCAGCAGTGTGGCACCCCATGCAGAGTATAGAAATAATCACATCCTGTTTACTATAGACCTAACTTCAGAGGCACAGATTCTGAATTTTGGAAAGACAGCCCCCAACCTAAGTGYGCAAGTCATCAAGGCAAGGCAGCCTGGCATCTTCTGACAGAAAAGCCTAGTCTGAAACAAAAAAACAAATGTCCTTCCAGAACAAAATCCTTTCCCATGGATGCACCACTTTGAGAAAGMTTCCCCCAAATTCTTCCTGTTTTTCTGGAAGCATGGAGATTCTTTCTTCTCTGTCTTTCCCAAGGAGACTGGGCAAAAAATCACTTTGAGTTCTACTTCCTCTAAAAGGTTGATGCTCCTAATTTCCCTCCCTATTCCAAAGCCATCAGCTTTAAGGACTRCTTTGTTTGTTTTGCTTGAAGTASTTCTTGGCCAGGCTACATGTACATTATCATTCAGGGRAAATAACCTTAATTGTCTCAGTCCTGATAAAGGAAATGTTAGAAAAGTGCTGTTTAGGGCACACCCAAAGCAGAATTTACATCTGATAGGGTTATTCCATGCCCTRTGGATAACAAAATCCAGGGGAAGACCTTCAGTCACCAAGATGACTGGGCGATGGCTAGAACAAATTCAAATGACATGGTAAAAAGAAGTACAGAGAAAAACACTGGGAAATACACAGTAAGATAAATACTATCCAAATTAGCATTGGTCTCCAAAAACTAGGCAAGGATGAGATTAAAGATTAAGTGAATTTTGCCATCTTCCCAAATTTTAAGTGATCAGCCACAGAGTTGTGCTGCTCTTGTGTCACACAAAATCCCTGCTGCAGAGGAGGAGCACAAAGATGTGTCACCTCCACTCCTCTTCCAGCAAACTCTTCTGAGACCAATTCTCCATCAAAGCTGTCCTGGTGATCACAGCAGAGAAATAAATCACCAACTGTTGAAMCAGGATATAGTTTGAAAATTATGTTTTCTCATATTATAGACTGAAACAGAGATCTTTTCCAGGCATCTTTTCATACTTGAAAATATTGTTTTGTTACAGAACCTTCTTCTTGTAAAAGAGCTTCGGATGTAGGCCTGCCAGTGAAGGAGGTTTGGGACTCACAGCTGCACACACAAGTGTTTGCAGAGGGCTGTCAAAGAACACATGGCCTCAAAGCATAAGGATGAGTGGGAAGTGGGAGAAACAAGGCTGCATTTTACGACTGTTCAACCAAACTAAAACTGCCTCTCAACSTCCTTGTTCCAGCACTGCTCTGKGATTCCTATGGTTTSCAGGCCYTTACATGAAAAGGGAGTTTTGGAAYGTAAGCAAAGCCATTCTGCATTTTCAGCCCCCTGTACATATTTAATTGATAACAATGAAAACAAGCCACTCCTGCACAGTAAGAAACTAGTTGTACAAATTAGATTAAAAATGGGTAATTAGTCASTTTTTTCACTGTCAATCAATTAAAAAAAAAAAACAAACCTTCAAATAAAAACAAGCAGGAGCCTTGCTTTTTCTTCAATAGGACTAAAGTAAAAATTTTAAACAACTTTTCCTAATACAGAAAATTTTTGGTTGAATGGAACCATTTCAGGCATGTTAGATCCAAACTAAACAAAGGATGGATGCCAAAGAGCAGGGATAGGAGGTGAGTGAAGCACTTATGTTATAGAGGGCTCAAGTTCAGATCCCAGCCACAAGTCCAAGGGGATATGTACCTCCAAGGACAGGGTGTTGACCGTACGGTTACATGGGATTTTGTCTATTTATACAGAACACTTCCCATCATGAGTGTGCCATTCTGCTCAGTGTGAGCTCATACTCAGGGATGGGGTGCCCAGACACTCTTTCTTACAGGTATTTATTTATTYAAACATCTATAAACATCAGCAGCAAAAGAGATGGCAGGAATCAGCTCCCATGGGCACTCTTGTCCAGGACCTGATCTTCTGGGGCTCTTCTACAACATGTACAATACAACAACAACTAGCCAGAGCACTATCCTGAGAAATCTGGACTAGGGATTGAGCCAGCCTCAAATAAGAGAGGAAAACCAAATCCCTTCCTCTAATGAATTATGGAAACACATCACTGYTGTCTCTTCTGGAGAATTATGAATAGGGAAAAAAAAATTTTGCTTTCTCCAGCCAAAAMTTATCAAATCATAACAGGATCACTCTGTGACCACCCAAAAACTGAGGCTAGATTTAGGAGTCATGTGTTATATAAATAAGTCCATCATCCTGTGTTCTTGCCACTCCTCCTTCGCCCCTCCCAGAAGCTGGCTTGCCTCTCTCCCCCACACCCCTCAGCTAGATTTAAACAGATGGCAGAGGGACATGAAATAAAGAGCAAACACAGGCGAGTGACTAATTTTCCAAAAGGAGACAGAAAGCCAAACTCTTAACTTCAACGTTASAGGCAGCAAGGAATGCATAATTACCCTCTGAACATCACATTCTTCCACATAAGCAGATGCAGTGGTAGCTAAGATGGTAGATGACAGCAAGCAGGGCAGGGATCCTCCAGGCAGGCTTGACAAGCAGCCTGGGACTACACTGCAKTGCTAGAGACACAGGGAGAGAGCACAGCAATGGAATCACAGGCTGACCCCCACCATGCAGCAATCCTGCTCCCCAGACAGGCTTAGCTGAGCACTCTGCCCAAGGTTACCCAGCTCAGCTTAAAATCAGCTCATGAGGCACCGGGCAGGACCTGCAGTGACACCTCTGAAATGCCAGGGGCTAGAAGGAGCTGCCCTGCAGTGACAGAAGCATGGGAATCTCTTTTCTGGGGAGTTGTCATGTTTGGGCTTGAAGAGTCTGGTATTTTGCAGAACATGGAGCACTTGGTGATGCTCAGGAAGTAAAGAAGCAAGGACCAAAGCCTGCTGGAGGGAGATGTGCCAAAGGAGTCACAGCCAGCACACAGCAGCTTGTACAGTAGAGAACGTGAAGGTGAGTTAATTACACCAGGGAGATGAGTAAAGAGCTATTTTAGTGCTTTTCTTTTATCTTCAATCCTGCTGGAGTTGGTGCTTCCATCTCTTCTGCAAGCATCAAGTGGCAGAGGGTAAGGTCCCCTCCCCTGGCAGCTCAAGGAAGCCTTCAGACTTTGCATTTCAGCTGCTTCAGTGGAAGCACTACCTACCTCTGCTGACTTTGCTCCWGGAGCAGTAATGTGACAGAGCAGACATTTAGGGTGGCAATTTTTAGGGCTAACTCTATCAGACTTTGTTATTTTAGCCATTTGGGATTATTTCTGCTGGCTGAAAGAATTTAAAGAGATATGCAGAAAATTAAAGCAAGTATCATCTTTGTTGTGCCTGACACAAAATATACTGCAGCACATCATTTTGCCAACAGAAGGACTTTTAAGACAGTAAAACGGCTAAGAAAAGCACCAAAACCATGTTCAATGCACAGAAATGGATTTTTCTTTGCCATTCTGTAAGAAATCAGAGTACCTGTGCTCAGACCTGTAGGTACCTATTCTCCAGGGCTCAGATTTGTTTCCTTCCTATGTTATATTGATATTCAGGGCATGCTGCAAAGCCTGTTTATTTGCCCATGCTTCTGAGGCGTGCTTGGGAGACAGAATTCCACATTATCTTTAGTTGGTATTAATTCAATTGATTTATCTGCAATTTTGCAGTTATTTGTCGTCTGTGTTTCTAGGTCTGTTGTGACCTTTTACAAGTGGAAGTTATAAATAACTCCAGTTTGTGGAGACTCACACAGCAAAATCTAAACAGCTTTTAAGATATTCCTCCAGCTGCCAATACATTTCAGGTCCAGAATGTGCTCAGTCCCACAGACTGAGAYAGTATCACCCAAACTGGGAATCCAAAGCCTTACTTCAGCATGCATATACAAATATTTGCTGATGGATTAAGAATTGGAAACAACTCTACTTCTTGTTCAAGTTGCAGACATGGGGGGGAAAAAAGAGGGGAAAAATGGATTTTGAGCATGCAGAAACGCAGACTGGGTAAGCAGAGCTGGCAACCTTGTAATTTCTGYTTCGCACTTCAGTCTGCTGACAGACATCTACTTTGCATTCCATGAAAGGCAGGTTTGCTGCAGCAGCCGTCAGCTGGCAAGTGACTTCTCTTACAAACCTTCCCTGCCTTGGCCCAGGGATGCTCTGTGGCTTTARGAGCCTTAGCAAAAGTTATTGGGAGGAAAGAATTTAAAAACAGGACATTAAGAACCAAGTGAAAGTGTCCCTCCACCCTCACTTCTCTGTTGGGACACCAGGGTTCAACCTCAAAGTACATGTCCTCTATCAGATCTGAGTACAAACTCAACCTCCTTAACTGGATTTTTTTAATCCAAAGGRCCAACACTTCCCTCTACTCACATTTAACATGATGGATCAAGCTAATTTTCATCACTTGGTTAGTATCTAAAGACACAGTCACATTCAGAAGGATTTTTACAAGCTTATAAAGCCTTATAAAATTTTTTAGATCCCAAGCAAGGCTGGTATTTATAACTACTTTATCCCTCKATGGTTATTTTAGCCTTACCTTCTGTGAGGATGTGGCTGGCCTACACAGAAACAGGTGATAAAAACAGCATAGCTGAAAATAAGCGTAGTCTTCCCTTTCATCAGGAAAAGAAGCTCGTAGGATCAGTTTCCACAGAACAGGAAAKCTGGGCCTTTCCAGCTGGCAGGGTGACCAACAGAGCAAGGGACTCCTGCTGGCAAGTGAAACCTTTCATTTCAAAGCCAGCTGAAGCCTGGTGGAAGGTGGAAAAGCAGGAGCTTTCTTTGCCCCTGGCACAACCTTGTGTTTACTTAAAGCACAAGGGCTGCTATTGCTGCCTGTGGCAGTTTAAATACCCCATGTTCAGCTCATTTTGCTGTCTGATTACTGTTACTGTTTTCCARTTAAGACACATTTTGCTAATGAACTCACATGGGAAAAAAGCTTCTCCCTTCTCCCACCTCTCCCAGTACACACAGAAAACTTTTATTCAAAAGCAGTCCTTAAACCCCAATCAGCAAGTTTTCTCCCTGCCAATGTTAAAAAAAAAAAAAAAAATTAAAAAGAAAGAGGCTCGAAAATCAAGAGCTGTACATTTTCAGCAGTTCAGACTACATTCAGAACCCCAAACAGCAGACTGATRATGCCCTTCCCAAAGGCATTCCCAGCCACATTTCTCCAGCAACAGGCATTTCTGATTATTTTCCAGGTTTACTCAAAGGCACAGTAGCACTGTTTTCCAAATCTGGAAGGGCAGACTAATGCTATTGAACAAGAGCTGTCACATTGCTATTTTGTAATGGTCACAAATGGTTACGGGCTTCATAACACACACATGCTCAGGAAAAACTGTGGAGCACCAACAACATCCATTTTCCTTGTGTGGCCACTAGACAAATTCAATATTTWCTTCTGTGATAAGGCTGCACAGACATTTTCACCCAAGCCTTGTAAACACGATCAGTAGGACGATGCATATGTATGTTTACAGACAAGGAAGTACTTGCATTCAGTACTTACATTAACAGGCCCAATCTGTTAAGGAAGGAAAGAAGATTTGTAGTAGTGGCTAATTCCTCAAAAATAATAATGTTCCTGTATCCAAGATAAGAGACATGCTATCTTAAGTGAACAGCAGCTTCCTTTGTTTACACAGCTCTTGTTCAACAATCATAAATAATAATAAATAATGAATAAAGTATAAGGTACCATTTTCACCCACCTTAAATTCAGGGTGATATAATGCAATCAAAATTTCAAGTGTTTCCAGAGTTTTCCARCAACAACTGAGTATTGAAAAGGTAATAATAAAAGACAACACTGTGATTTCTGCCACAGTGCTTCCTGCAGAAATCCCCCAAATCACAGCAGCACTAAGAAAACTATTCCTACACATCGGTTTTACAACCTACCTATCTTATCTTCCTCACTCTCAAACTGAAGAATCTTTCAAATGCAATTAATCAGCTTTCATTAGCTCTAAATTGCTTTTTGCTTGCTTGTAATTAAGGACTAATAGCCAAGAGTCAGAAATTTATAAGGTAATTAACCATAATGAGTAACTGTTTTAAAGTCTGATCAGCTGCTGAATGTCAACTGATATCTTAGTTTTTCCCAATAAACTTTTTTTCCCCATGTATTTATACAAGCTTGAAAAAGAAGATTTATTTCGCAGAGGTTGAACATTCACCAGATAATAGTATATGTGCCTGTTCTTTCCCCAGAARGCAGCTAGCTAAAGACAAAAATATSTGCAAACTAGTAATTAGTATGGATACAGAAGGTTTTAAGGTGACACTGACATGAGGAAAGATCTATTTTTACWTGTGTGTGAAGTATATTTCAAGTTCAGAGAAAGGAACACAGACAGAAAGCACACACATGTTGTGATCAGCTCATGCATAGSACAAGAATCTGCTCAGCACTTGTAAATATCACCACATAAAATACATTTCCTCTGCTTGTGCTTCCATTCAATAAAATGTTGGTCAACCAGTGCTAAAAACATTCTGTGTCAGTATCATATTAAGTAGCATTGCCCAAGTTAGAATATCAAACCAAGTGAATGAGCTGGGTCCAAGATTATAAACAGCCATTCCAGCATAATATCAAAAAGCTTTAGTTATGTTAATGAGACTCAATTTCTGAAAGAAAAATTATTYACTTATTTCACATATTTCCCTACATGTGGCATCCAGTGTAACACAAGTGAAACTCACTATACTCAAAAATCTGTCTGAGAAAACCCCGCTTTGGTGTTCATCAAGTAGATCTTACATAAGAAATTGCATGTCAAAACTCACAAGAGGATGAACCCTGATCCCCTTTAGAGTAGAGCTTGTCGCTCACAGTAAAAGCTGGAAACTCCAATTCAGCTGCTGTCTGCAGGGTACTCAGAAACTCTTCTTGGTAAGAAAACAGGATGTGCATCCCCAGAACACAACCAAGAACTCATTTCAGCAGTATTTCCCTGCATTTTCCTTCCTGCAGAGTCATAAGGGGAGTTAGGCWGTTTCCATTGAGAGAGTCATTAGCAGAACAAGTAGCATCCAAGTTTTCTGCAGTTTTCTTTGGCAGAAACCACAGAACAGGAAAACTTGAGGAAAAGTAAAGATGTTCTCAGGACTCTAACTTATGTACAGTATTTGAGTTGGAAAATAAGTCAACTATTTGAAGCTTTAAAACATATTTAGCTGTTTCATTTTAGAGCTGTGTAAGAGAAAGCCCTAAAATGACACTTCCAACATGCAATATTTCTCTTCTCCTGTTTTGTCCTGCAATGTTTCACATTTCTGTTTTCTCTTCAAAACAATGTCCCAGTTAAGAAAACCCATGTTTAGCTTATACATGAGGAATGAGTCACTTATTCATGGRGGGAAATGAGTTTATATGGGGAAAATAAGCATTATGCCTGCTGGATTAATGTTTTCAGCAGTCATTACATTGCTTAGTGGAGCGGACAGCACGAGCCTAAAAGCAATATTAGTGCTTACTTTAGGATGAGGTTGCTCACATTTAACCAGTTTCAAGACTCCTTTGCAAAGCATTCAGAGTAAGCATTTTTAGCTGGGGGGAAGTAAGTATTTTTAGCCTATCAAGGAACCAGGTTGGAGTTTGGAGCCAGAACAATTTCTAATGATTAGTCTGAAGTTCCTGTAAGCTTGGGACCCACAGTCTTTTAAGATGACAAAAATCAAGGGTGCACTATCTGAATGTTTTTACTTTTCCAACAGGTAACTGCTACRGGTAAAGATCATCTTTAAAAGGGAACATGGATTTGATAAACTCAACTGAACAAAACAGTACCTCAGAAGAACCTTTCAAATGGGCGACATCCAAGATTCTCATTTCCATTACCCTGTCTGTGCTTGCTCTAATGACAACGGCCATCAATTCTCTCGTGATGACTGCAATAATTGTGACAAGAAAGCTCCACCACCCTGCCAACTATCTAATCTGCTCTCTTGCAGTGACTGACTTCCTTGTGGCAGTGCTGGTGATGCCCTTCAGCATTGTCTACATTGTAAAGGAGACCTGGATCATGGGGCAGGTGGTGTGTGACATTTGGCTGAGCGTGGACATCACATGCTGCACTTGCTCCATCCTGCATCTCTCCGCCATTGCTTTGGACCGGTACAGGGCAATCACGGATGCTGTGGAATATGCCCGGAAAAGGACACCTAAGCATGCTGGCATCATGATAGCTGTTGTGTGGATCATATCCATTTTTATCTCCATGCCTCCTTTGTTTTGGAGGCACCAGACAACCAGCAGGGAGGACGAATGCATCATCAAACACGACCACATTGTTTCCACCATTTACTCCACCTTCGGCGCCTTCTACATCCCACTGGCCCTGATCCTGATCCTCTACTACAAGATCTACAAAGCAGCAAAGACATTTCACAGRAGAAGCGTCAGCCGCATCGTGAGGGAGGAGGGGGTGAACGGACAAGTCCTTTTGGACGCAGGGGAGAGAAGCACCAAATCAACCTCAATGCCCAGCACAGCAGAGAAGACCTCAGATGCACTGGTGAACTCCGATAAAATCAACATCACCCTACGAAGCCCCAGGTCTGAATCCAAGCATGAGAAATCCTGGAAAARACAGAGAATCTCGAGCACAAGAGAGAGAAAGGCAGCAACTACACTGGGATTGATCTTGGGGGCATTTGTGATCTGCTGGCTCCCATTTTTTGTAAAAGAAGTAGTTGTTAATACCTGTGAAACATGTCACATCTCAGAAGACATGTCTAATTTCCTAGCATGGCTGGGATATATAAACTCCCTTGTTAACCCTTTAATCTACACAATCTTTAATGAAGATTTCAAGAAAGCCTTCCAGAAGCTTGTACGGTGTGGGCAATACCTTTAAGAGCTTTTGTTCCTATGAGGAGAACATAATCATTGYTTTTTAACCTGTATAAATTTATATAACAGAGATGACATTTATTGAATTTAAGGCAAAGCACCAGGACTCTCCAGCATTTACATTATAATGACTTTTTTTGTATAGGTAACATTGGGAACTTAATTGCCCAAGTTTTAAAGAGATGGATCATCTGGGATTGGTTTTGCTCTAGAAAAAGAGATGGCATATTGTGGCTGTGATTCAGTTGGGATTTGCTCAGCTGCCTTGCTTGAAGCATAGGATATTACCTTAAATATGAAGGAAATACACACTTGAAGTAGACAAAGAAACAAAAYTCTTTAAAAAGTAACTCTCAGTCATCAATGAAATGTTAAATAAAACAGCACACACATTTTAAATCCTACTGATATAAGGTAGAAAATACACCATGGAATGACAACATGATTTTTAAGTCTGGCACAGGCCTGCAGCATAGAGCCAAGCCATTCCCAGCCAAGGGTAGTAGCTTTAAATGTATCTACCATCATCCTCTGTCCATCAGCTGAGTGAGCTGCAGCCCTGCCTTGTCACACAGATGGACTTCCCCGTGTTACACAGCGCCCCAGCAGCAGGCAAGGGGCTCTCAGTTCCATAGCAAGCCAGTGTTGGAAGCCCTCTGCCATTGCACACCCACAGCAGATKTGAGCATAACCCCAATGGAAACAGCCAAACACCCAGAGCACCTCCAGTGAGATGGGTACACAGAGTGCCCAATGCTCTGAGACACCGCTTCCATGGGCASTGGGGAGGAAAAGCTCATAAAGAGCAGCTGTTTCTCCTTGTGGAGATGTTAGAAGGGAGAGAAGCACAAGACACTTCTTTCTCCMTGTCCTCACTCCTAGCTGACACACCTGGCCAGGCAGAGCCTGTGACTTGCTGCATCAAACCCAGCCACACAGCTCATGGCAGGGCCGAGCATTGCGAATGGAGGGTGGCTTAGTGGGATTTGAACTGGGGCTGACAGCTCCAGCTCAGCATGTTCAGCCCTCCATCCCCAGAAGCCTGATGCCCCCGAGCCTTTTCTGGACTACCCCAAGCAGTAGGGCAATGCTCCCTCTTTCCAAGCACGTGAGAAAGCCCCACAGCACTGGCAGCGTGGGTCTCTGGAAAGGGCTGTGCAGCACCTTCTGCAGCAAGGCAGAGGGAGTGACCTCAGTATGCYCTGCACACCTGGGCAGGGGATCCTGGGGGATGCTCACTGGGAAGCTCACCTTAGTGAGCTCCTCCTTCCCCCTGAGCATCCATCCACATCCCCRTTCCCAACAGAGCTAAAAAGGCCTTACAAGAACTCCAGCCAGTCCTGACCAACTTACTCAGTCAAAGATAACCTCAATGAACAAATCCCTTCCAAGGCCTCAGAGATGACACCTTGGCCAATCCTGATTCACATGCTCTAGATGCCAAGCCACAGTCCTCACCTCAAAACCAGCAGTGCAAATTTCCCAAGAGCCAAGGGTTTGAACAGAGCAGTGGGCATTTGCCCCGTATGCAGAGGAGTTGTTAAGACCCACACCAGAGCCCAGGGACAGGTTTTGCACTTTTCAAGACAAACAGATCCAGGCTCTGTCACAAAGAGCCCAGCTTCAAATCAGTGGTGTTCAGTGCTGGCTCACAGGAACAGGGACTTGAGGCTTCTTACAGGGACTACAAACCCCTCTTTGCAGCAATCTCCTGCAAAGTTGCTCCAGTTTGGCACCTGGGCCAGCAGCTTAGGAACACCACAAAGGAACTAAGACATGAGACCACCATGCTCACCCTTAGCTGAAGAAAGGTGTCACTGGCCCTTACAGTTGTTCTTCCAAGAGACTTTCAGTGAGGTGCATTAGACAAAAAAAAMCCACCAGAAAAAAAGGCATCACTGTCATTTCTCTCTCCCCTTCTCCCTCCCCTGTATTACAAACTCTGGAGTTTGTAATAATTTTTGTACTTTGCCTGCAGGCTACCAGCTGACACAACAGCTGTCAAAAGGGTTCCCTGCAAGATGACGAGTTTTGAAACTTGAGATATTGAACTAATTTGTTTCTGTCAATGGCAYCTTACTGTATTCTGCTTTCACCTCAAGGGCCAAATGAAATGCTTTTCAAAATTACTAGAAACTATGCATTTGCTTTACTGTTGACTTTAACAGCCAGGAATTTAATGGAAAGCTCTCTTGTCATACCATGGAGCTCTAGCACAGCAGTGGCACAGCTAAATTTTGAAGATGCTGGGATGCGACAGAGTGGGATTGGCTCATGCTCAGTGCAAGCCAGCACACTTTATTACCATTGCAGTCAGAGCACAGCTTCTGCAGCCCCTGTGACCTCAGCAATGGCTGCATTATGCTGAGAAAAAATTGCTCTAAGCATCAGCTGTGCTCTGCTGTCTCCAGAAAGAGCCATGAAATTTAGCTTTCTAAAAAGATTAGCAGCTTAGCAGAAGGCAGCAAAGAAAACCCCTCTTAAACATTCAGTCATGAATATCTGTTTCCCACATTTCCTGTGTCATAGCATTGGGTATCTGGAGGAACCCATTCCTCTCCCCCTGCCTCTCCCTTTATGGCTGCTGGAGTACAGACGATACTGTTTATCCTCTTACTCGTGTAAGATGTTTGACAATATCTCATGAAATCAAATTGGAAGGAAAAATAGGGGCTGCTTTTCAGRAGAAAAGATACTTTAAACACACATTTAAATAATAATGGGTGAAGCTCAAAGAAGGGAACCATATGTAGATAAACAGAAAATAGCTGTCATTTATGCAATGTTAACAGTATTATACTCTGAAACTAATTAAGCTGCTAAACATTTCTCAAGATGCAGGGTGGTTTCTTTTGTATTGTTTTCACTGAGCTGTATCTGCTCACCCTTCAACACAGCGGTGGGAGAGGCAACTACAAGATATCAAACGAGTGGGCAGTTATTCCATTAAAAGCACTTGCGGCTTGTGGACCATCATTTCTTGGTGTCTGACTGCGACTCATCACTCGTTCCCTAACAGAATGCACAAACACTTCCCCGCACAATATCACACAGTATCATTTCATCTCTAGCATTTACCCTTGGATGTGATGTGTCCAGAGAAAAGACATGAATTCCCCTATCAGAATGCGTAAAGGTTAAGATTTCTGCAGAACGCTGCTTTCCCTCCCTGYGAAGCACGCAAGCACCAACTGGACCTTAGCATCAGATTCAAGGAGCAGGACAGAGCGAGATTTTAAGCACTGAGCTAAGAATTTTTTGCAGGTAGCTCTGTGCCCAGTGAGAGTTCAGTCTTAGCAAAAAGAAAAAAAAAAAAAAAAAGTGTCTGGCTTTTCACCTCTGTTAGAACACTCTATATGTGTATTTCAGGGACAGGGTTTACATGTCCAGAGTTTGCACAAAGATTCCTGGTCCCTATCCCACTGCAGCTGCCCTGCCCGTTGCTGTTTGCTGCTCACCCAACAGTTTAGATTTCTTCCAGCACCCAGGGAACTGGATTTGGTGCAGCTGACCCACTCCCATTACAAATTTCGCAGAGAATGATTCCTGAAGCAGCTGTGAACACGACATGCAGCTCAGGTGGATGGTTCTTRCTAACAACAAGCAGTTAGACACACCTCGTTATCCCTCACTCATTTCTTTGCCTCTCCTCCCTGCCAGATGCTTTATTGGTGTCCTTTCCTCCTGAGAATGGCATATCCCTACAAAGAGCTTGGGGACACAAAAATACATTTGTTTTCGTGATGMAGTCACACTTGTTAACGCATGACTGTACCACCCAGAAACACCCACCTCATCCAAATGCGCTTTTGGCAGTCGCTGTCTTCAGCTGGTGCCTAATTGTTCTTGGTGCTGGGGAGGTACACGGAAATAGCACCGTGCCAAATCATTTTCTCCAGTAGTTACAAACTCAGCACGTTATTTCTAAGCAAGTACACATTACTACTCGACCTTTGCATTTCAGATTCCCCTTGCAGAAGAGAAACAGAAAACCCCTGCTGTAGCTGCTGCTGAAAAAAAGRGCTTTTTTGAACTCTACACACCAAAGAGTAAATCCTGCAAGAAAGCGCAAGAAAGTGAAAGGAGACCCTTGTAGCAGCCCTGTAAAGATTAAGAAGAGATCTGAAACTTGTGTCAGTCCTACAACAAGGACAGTACTGCTACTACAATAGCAGAACTGCTAAAAATTGCCAGCAAGATGTCAATATCTCCTCCCCTGTGAAATTCTGAAATTAACTAAACTGATTATTTCTTTCAGATTTTTCATTGTCTTCTGGAGAATCAGGGTAAATTTCTTATTTATTCCTCAACAGGAAAGCTCAACCTCTGAAAGAAACTTTTTTTTTTTTTTGATCTAGTGTTTCTAGCCATCATAAAGTAACTAAAAAAAGTAAAGCTTAGATGATACTGATCTTGTCTAAGAGGAAAGATTATAGAGAACAGAACAAACAGAAGTCAGCAGCAAGGACTGTGAATGGCCAAGGTTACCAAACAAATTCAAAACAGTCTTTCTGGTGTCAAATCCCCCATTCATAATGGACATCAAGGACTGAAAGCAACCTTATATCCTCACTTTTTATCCTAACTTACTAAAGTATGAATTCCATAACTTTCAGYTGTTTATTTTGCATTCAAGTGAGTTTCTTCATAAGTAAAAACTCTACAACTCAGGAAAACTTCAAAAGGGAATATTTTTAGGCAAGGGGAAAGTCCTGTGTTTCATCAGTCCAAGTACATTAGTACAATTATGAATTAAAAATCCTGGTTAAGCAGTGTAAAATCAAAGATGCTGCTTATCAAATGCTATTGCTTTTTTATCCACTAGTAGCTCAAATCAATTGTAACCTCTCTTGTTTATAGTATAATACTATAATATATATTATAAATATAATGTAGACCTACAATTATTAAAATACCATTTTGAAGGTATTCCTTGCTATACACCAGATGGGCATCACTAATAAAGATTAGCCTCTCTTTCCACTTTAAATCAAGATACCTCCTATATACCGATGATATTTTCCCCTCACTAAATTAAGTCTTTCCCTTTCTTCCTGTACACCCATTTATTCAAAACTCAGAGCTGCATTTCATGGCTTGGGTTTAAAGATGAGAAACATGTTTAACACCACAAAAAGCGCTAATTGCTTATGTAATGCTAGAAGAGCGATTAATCTTCTCACTTTCGGTTTAGATCATGACTGGTAGTAGACATTGAATGCAATAGCTGGTTCTGTGCTGGCAGCACTCCAAGATGCAAAAGCTGTGGCTAATTTGTATGACAGCAAGCGTCTGCTAAGCAACTCACTCTTGGCTAAGCCTGGTTTCCCATCTTTCACAGTACAAAGCTGCACAAAATAGTCCACAGCCATGAAATGGGGAATCAGCCAGTTTGCATCCCAGTTGTTTCTAGTCTGTCAGTTCCTAGGAGATGCTTGCCCCACAAACACCACGAACCAGCAGCAGCAAAGCTGTGCCTGTATCCAAAAATAGCCAACATCTTTCACATCCATCTATTACTTCAGAGGYAGCCTGGACTGACTTATGTCCAGGTGGGCTCAATACAGAGTAGCACTGCTCCCCAACCAGACACAAAAAGAGATCCCTTCAAGGAGAATGACTAGCAAATCATTCAGTGTTGAATTACCTCATCAGCTCTGGTCAATACAGGGCTTGTATTCCCTGTCATTGTGAAATTCACTCTGAAGCCTGAGGTGATCAATCAGCTTAGGTACATGCAAAAATACTGGAATTTAAGATAAGAAAAAATCAAGCTAAGTGTTTTCAGGCTGGGGATCTTTCTTCCACGTCTACTTTGACAGCTGTAAACTGCAGTCATTTTGAACCCATAACAGTTTCCCAAGCAAGATATATCTATACCAGGTAAGCGTGACTTCATTTTTCACACACAGATATATTTCTATTACTATTGGACTGTTTCTAACCTTATTCATTGATGATGCATTTTGACAAGTATTTATCTCATCTGGTTTTCAAAGTGTTGCAGAAATACGAATTAATTAATTATCTCAGGTAGATAGGCGGTCTTATCTCATTTTTACCGTTAGAAAAACAAAAGTCCAAGCGAAGTAGGCAGCCAGCACTTCATCCTGAGGTCCTGGAGTGGAGAAGAGAAAGGAAGAGGAAGGAAAAGAAGGAGAGGGGAGGAGAGGAGTTCCTTTGTTAACTGCACAAGGAATCACACACTGTCTGCGGGATGAAAGTGAGAGCTGTGGAGCAAAGCAACTAGGAAAGGGGTAGGAGGAGAACAGAAGCAGTTTTCTCCTTATAGAGCCTTGAAATAAACTTGCTTGAACTCATCACAGCTCGGACCCAGCTAACAAAAGTGCCAGTTCACTTTGGAGCTGCCTGGCACCTCCCAGRGCTGAGAGAAGGCTGTTCTGCCATCGCCATCCCACGCAGGGTCAGCACAGCACTGCACAGATGAGCACATGTGATCCTTCTGCAACACTCGTGTGGCAACTCTGGTCAGCATCAGCCGTGCACAGCCAATGAGGCTGGGGAGCTGCAAGTACTGAGATCTTGAGGAGTACACAGCAGAAAAAAAAAAAAAAAAAAGAAGTAGCTAAGAAAGGATATCTTGAAATCTTACCTGCATTACAATGCCCTCCCATCTTCTCAAAAGTCACATCAAGTACATGCAGAGCTGAACAGAGATTTTGTCCCTTGCTTTAGACATTGCAAGGGATGGATGCTCACCTTGCTTTATATTTCACAAATACAAGCTCCACAGTCAAACCATTACCACGTTTACTGCTTGTCTCAGTTAAATACCCCAGTGTATGCCAATCCTCCCCAGCCCCTGCCAGCCTGGCCTTTGCCTGTGTCTCCAGCTCACTGAGCATGGTGTTTAAGCATTCTGTAACAATTTACTCCACTGTTCCTTACTTTCATTTGACTGGAGAAGGATAACAAAAAGTGACTGAAACACCCTCCAAACTCTAAACCTGCAAATAGGACGTGAAACAGAAACAGAAGGACGCAGTCAAGATTTAACAGAAAATAAACCAAGTGACACTCCTCTGAGCTACCCTTTCTACTTGCCCCACTCCACGCTCTGCTCTCACCCACAACACACTACACGCAGTGAGTGAAGAGGAAGAGCTGTTTCAGTAGCAGGTTTCACCTCTTTTGTGAAACCGGGCAAAAAGAGCTCTCGTTTAAAGACCCTTCAGGGGAACGATAAAGGCTTTAAAATGTTAACCTGCTTTGCCTTCTCTCACCCTCGGCTGTACGGAAAAAAAAAAAAAGGAGCGAGGGATAATTGACTCCGGTGCAGACTAGGAAACACAGCACAGATGAAAGGGGTGACAGGGAGAAGGAGGAAGGAGCAGGCTCTCACCGAGGGCTGGGTTCTCACGGGACAGASCAGCTCCCCGCAGCCCGGACACTGCGTGAGGGGGCAGCCCCAGCCCCGCTCGGCGGGCAAGAAACCACGAATATATAACCAGCGGGCTGGCAACAGAGGGACGAGGGGCGATTTGGGGCTGTTCTCGCCGTGCCAGGCTCCCGGAGCCCCGTTGCAGGGCCGGGGATGTGCCGGGGCGCGGAGCCTTTTCCCGGGCGGGCGGGTCCCTCTAGCGGCGCCTGGGTCTGGCGGCGGCCCCGGCTGAGGGCTCCCGTCCCTGCCCATGGGCCCGGGCCCCTTCCCGGGGTCACAGCCCCGTCCCTGCCCATGGGCCCGGGCCCCTTCCCGGGGTCACAGCCCCGTCCTGCCCGCGGTGGGCTCGGCTGGCAGCCCGGCCCCGCTCTCCGTGTCCCCACACGGCACCCGAGCCGCCCGGTGACCGGCATCCCTGGCGTGGGGACAGCGCCTGGCAGAACAAGGCGCTGACAAGGTGGGGAACCATCAGCGTGGGATCCCCTCCCTTCGCAGCAAGATTCTCAGAGCCCCTGTGTGTGCTCAGATCCCYCCCGTTCAGTAGGGTTTGTCATAGTCATAAATCATCCTGAGCTGAAACGAACCCACATGGAGTCCAAGCCCTGGCTCTGTACACCCCAGCAGTCACATCATATCCGTGGCCAGGAGCTTTATCCAAGCACTCTTTGGGCTCTGGTAGGCCTGGATCCATGACCACTTCCCAGTGCACAGTCATCCTCCGAATGAAGAACCTTTTCCTGATATCCAGGCCACTTCCTCGTCCTTGACACATCTCCATGCCATTCCCTCGGGTGGGACATCAGAGGGAAGAGAGCTGTGTCAGCCACTGCCTTTACCCTCCTGAGGACATTTTAGCC